TAATTACATAAGAAATGTTGAATCAGAAAGTCTAGTTTCTACTCTTCAAAGGCAGCCAAATTATATAGATTTTTGGGAAGTTGAAAGCTTCAGTGTCTCTTTCTTCTGCACCATTATTTACATTGAGAACTTTGCATTCTTATATTTTATAAATTTTCCTCTTCAAAGGCAGTCAAATTGTACAGAATTTTAAGAACTTGGCCACCTTAGCTGGGTTTGAAGTTTTTTCTCTAGGTCAGTTAAGTTAAATGGCTTGTTGGCTGACTCACCTTAACATGCAAATTTATTGTTAATGTGGAATACTCTCTTGCTTGCTTAGATTCTGTTCTCATTTTTTTCTTTGACATGCATGTGGAGCTGGTTCTTCATTTGCCTTTCTATTACCCCTGTTTACATGTCAAAGGAATTCACTCTTAAGTACATCTCTTAACAAAACCACTGAAGTACTGGAACATAATACATACTTTTGAATGTCCAAAACTCCAGATTTTATTATTTCTTGTTCCTGGAGGAGAAGTCATGTTGAGTTTTCATGATTTTTATGAAGCTTGAATTGACACATGATTTCTATGGAATGTCTATGAAGGGGAGGAACAGTCAGAGATAGAGGTGACTTCTGGATTTTATGTGCTATTTGGATCGGGTAAAACTCTATCCTAGATTTAAGGCAGTACATTTGTTTTGAATTTTAGTCTATGTGGAAGAGTCGAGGCTATGTATCAATCAAAATGTTCCAGTTAATTAGATGCTCACATATCTGTTATATATGCTCTTTTCTTGATTGACATATCTGTTATTTATGCTCTTTTCTTGATTGTTAACATCAAGTTAGGTTATAATATTTTTTTAACAATGTCTGCAACTCTGTGTTGAACTGTTGATTTCTCTCTTTGTATTTGACCTGTCACTCTGGCTAATTCTAACAAGGTTAGCTTACCAGAGAATGAAAGGAGGGAAAATAAAATTAGAGGGAGTGTCCAGAGATGAAGCTCTACTAATTAATTAGTTTACAGTGGATCGATTTGCATTTTTAAAAATGAAAAAAGGAAAAAAGAGAGTAAATCTGTATTTTCTTTCTTATTTTTATTATTGAAAGATGAGATTTCCAATTTATTTAGTTAGTATAGGCAAAGAAGGACATACAAGTTTTAGATGTATGCTTGCACATTTTCATTTGAGGCAGGGTCTTCTACAAACTCTAATCCCAGTACCTGGGGCACCTTTGTAATTTTGGTGAATAATCTTAACTCTTATATTAAATCTCTTTTATTGTCAAGATATCAACTTTGATTTTAATGATGCAATGCACATGCCTGTTAAATTTAAGATATATTTACACAATTAATAACATGTATTCATGTTGGAAAACAGGGCTGATGCTGTCATTTATTCTTTCAATCTATATCTTGCAGTCATCAAGGGGCAAATTGGCTCGTTAATTCTGTTTCTCATTTTGTTTAGAATCATTTTTTTTCCCCTTTCTCTTTTGCTAGATATTAAATGCCTTCTCTTTCCAAGGAACAAGAAGTACCAATTTTTCACATTCATTAGCATCCTTTGTTTGCTCCTCCCCCATTTCTCATGATATGGTTGCGTATAGGTTTGTAATGGAGACTGTAGCGGAAGCAGCATGCCTGGAGGAGTGGCTAAGGTTGAGTGATGGAACTCTTATCAAGTTGAGTACCGCAAGTGCATCTTTTAAGGGAAGTTAGAAGGCTTGAGGAGGCAAGTTTTGAGAAAATACAATTGTACAGTAGATGGAGTACTTTTGAGTTTGCAATGAAGACTTCATAAGAGCTAAATAAAATGGTTTCTCTCTCTCTCTCTCTCTCTCTCTCTCTCTCTCTCTTCCCTGATCCCTTGAAACTATGATTTCCTTAATTGTTTTAAATGTTAAATCAACTCAAACTTTGGATTGAAGTGGAATTATAAATCAAAAACTGACCTTTAAAGTGAAATCTCTTGGTTATCAAACATCTCTTAAAAACCTCAAGATGCTTGGGATTGAAACTCCAAAGCCATCTGAAACTTTCAAATGTGAGAAATCTAGGATTCTTCCAATTTAGGGCATTGGTAGATCCAAATATATTGTGAGTTGGAGAGGCGTCGCATGGCATCAACAGAAGGTAGACATGCCAAATTAATGCAAGCTTGAAAGATTAGCTCTTGAAGAGAAGGGGGGTTTCCCAATCCAAATATATTCTATGTTTAATAACCAAAAGATTTCACCTTAAAGGTTACCTTAGGGAAGTGATTGTTGATCACTGTTATGTTTCATCAAATCTTTGTAATTTGACCTCAATAACATTTAACACTTCTTGAATTAGTAGTGGATTGTGCCCATATCTTAAGAGTGTTTTGGCACGTTAATAAGAATTTGATGAGATACTTGCTGAGAAAATTAGGGCAAGGCAATCAAGCTTAAGATAAAAACAAGAATGAAACCAACATCAAGAATTTTTTACATGGAAAACCCAAGGAGGTAAAAACCATGGGACCTAGTCTAGATAAAAACATCCACTATGAAAATAGTCTAGATAAAAACATCCACCATGAAAAATAGCAAACTTACAAAGTTCATCTCTAGAGAGAACTAAAGGATAACAACTTCATTCTCTCTTCCCTAGATAGAGCTAGGGGCATACATAACGGAATCTCAAGATTCTACCCTGTTCTCAAGCTGGTTTGTATAGTCTGACTGTTAAGGGGGAGACAACTCCGACTTTAGTCTCTAAAGTTTTTCAGCTGTCTTGCACTGCAACTCAGCTTGCAACATCATTCAGGTCACCCCCCAAATTAAGAAAGGAGGACTAGGAAATATTCCAGCAAACAAGGCCTGCAGGAAAGGAAACCACTTTTTCGAGTAAATCTTTAACCTATCAAAGGAATCTTCCTGGGTGTTCCAATGCCCAAAATAGATGAACTGCTACTTACTAATTGTATTGTTGCAAGTAAGCAAATTGCAGAGAGAAACACTTCTTCAGTTCAGTGTCCTTCCAACGAAAATTTTTTACAGGGCCTGCAAACAAAGTAGAGACAATTTTTTGCTGATGACCTGAGTAAAGAAATTAATTAGAGAGAAAATAATACCCAACAAGGGTTGTCATGTCAGGTTTGCATGATGAACTCTCATAAGAAGTTTGAAATTTTTAAATTTATTGGAGTCACAGCTTAATTTTTAAGACATGACTTGAGAATGAACTCAAAAATATTTTAGAGATAAAATGTGCATACCTCTAAGAGAAACTCCTTATACCCTTGACCTGATGATGAGATAGCATCTTTACGGCTACAGGCTACTTTAGAACCATCATCTAGGTAATCATCAAAGTGTTCCTACGCCCCTCCTCTGATGTCTCTCTCAAAGATGCTGGTAATTTTCACTAGCTCACAATATGTAAATTTTCGATTCTTTGGCTTCAAAGTTGTATCCCTCTTGTTCTTTTTTTCAGTATTCAATTCCTCTACATTTGATACATATATATATATATATATATATATATATAAAGTTCAATGAGAATAGATGTGACAGGAAAGCTTATTAGTCAATTTTAAAACAAAAAAAAGGACTCGAATGACTTAATTAAACATCTAGCACTAGTTGATAAACATACATACCTTGTCATTTATTTATTTGATTATTTCCTTTTAGGCTCCAAAATGTAGGTACTTGCAATTAAGAAGACAAATGTTGCAGTTGATGCTTCCACTGGAACAACAAACTTCTTTTTCTTCTCCTCTCACACACTTGCATCAATTCAGTTGACATTATTATTAGCATCTGAAAACAAACAGAATGTTAGGTGTGTTGTATCCAGTCATGCCACTAGAAATCCTGGGAATGCATACAGCTCCTTCAATAGATGGTTAATACAAGCTCATGATTCTTTTTCTTCCTATGTTCCAAAATTGATCTTAAAAGGATAACAACTGGCAATAATTAATCTGGGACAATATGAATTTGAGAAGCAAACCTTAACAAGTTGATTAATTCCTTAACCATGAGTTCAATGGAAGTGAGCCAGAAAGCTTTATCCTTCTAAATTTCTTGCAAGGTTTGGAAGAAATATCAAATATGAATTAGTTATTGGCTTCACGCTTACCATCAACTTCACCAAATATGCTTAGATAACTTACAATATCATAAACAAGTTCAGTTGGGTGCTTCTATGGTTATATCATCCTCCGATAAATCTCTGCAACAAATGGAAGCGACATGAGATATCTTCCCTGTAAATCTGCAAGCGCCATGAGGACGAGTTCCTGCAGATTCAAGTTGTCAGTAAATAAAAACATTGTGAACTTGATACTCATCCTAGCTGGAAGTATCATAACCCTTACAGATGTTATTAAGACCACCCCAGGATCTTGTTGCTGGTTTCTCTCCACTACATATGTTAACTTTCAGTTAATTATTGCATCAGCCAACTCCCATAGCTGTACATAAATTTTAGTCAGAATCATGTATAATAGGTTCTAGAATTCCAGAAATATGTTGAAAAGATAAAGGTTAGAAAAACCTGTACCATTTTCATGACAGCAAGAGCATTGAGAACTAATGGGAGGGTTGATCTGTTGGTTCTTTCCAAACAAAAGCCAATGCTTTCTCCACTCAGCGGCGATAAAACTGTATATGGTACTTGTAATAGAGAATTCTGGAGCAATGGCACCATAAAAAAGTTCTCTATTTCAAGAATTTTTTAATTCTCTGCTCTGATTTGCTTGGAGCCCTTAACCTCAGCAAAGTGTATGTACAGATGAAATTTGACACTCAGTAATAGCCAAATGTTGCTTACATATACCAGTTATCTGCAATGCTCATAAAAAGAGGTCCTGACCAGTAACCATTACAATTCCAGCAGTCAAGAGGAAAGAATGTTCTTTGAATGTTGCTATTCCAATTCAGCAGGGTAGAAACTGCAAAAACACCACAAGCACTAACCTTAAATCAAATCACTTTCATGCTTAAAAATTTAATTTAGTACGTAGTTTGATATAAATTATAAATCTACTAAGGACATGATATGGTTACAAAGTAACAAGAGAACCCTACTCAAATTTTTGGTTTAGGATCATGGTGTTGACATAATTTGAGCCACAGAAGAGATAAACGCTGAGTTTGCATATCATACATTTGGCACAAAACCTCGGAGATATTTCGAGCATCCATGAATCATGAAAGCATTCTCACATACAGTTATGTACACACAAAGACGCCTATATTTACTTGTTGAATTCATTTTTCATTCAAAATATGAAAGAGGATTATGAAAAAAAAAAAATTTAATGAAGAATAAAAACAGACCTTTAATAGGATTCCACAGTGTGGCCATG